CAAAGAAGATTTCCGCACCAAAACTACCAAAACTATGGCCCATTTAAGATCCAAATCGACATGGCCTATCCGAACAATCGGGGCCCAATGTCTGCTCGACAGGCTGGGCCACTCACGTTCTTTAATACCAGGCCGAGGTCGCCATCCGCCCATCCTCTGACGCTTGCCTGATGCAGCGCCCACCGGCGGCGTTGGCTCTCAACAGTTAACACATGGAAATTTAGCATTGAAGAATAGCAGGGACAATGATAATCCTGTCTGAGTTATTTGAGGTCATTTGTCAAAGAATAGCTATACTAAAAAGGTCTACACCTACGATGGACTTTACAAGGTTGTAGATAACCGGGTGCAACACGGAGTGTAAGGCCATGTTGTTTTCAAATTGAAATTGAAGCGGTTTGAGGGTCAGCCATCATTAACAACCCCGACCTACTCTTCCTGGTTCTAAAGCCAACAAGATCTTCGACCAGCTCGTGGCTGACGTGGACTGCCGTTAAGTTCAGCCAAACTAAGTGGCTGGGTGGTGCCATTGTCCAGGGAAACTAAAAGATTGAGTGATGTAAACAGCCAGGCTGCGGAGGGCACCGCAGCAAATGGGTTGGAAGCTAGCCCAAGCGATAATGTTGTACAGGATCAAGAGATGGTGGAGCTAGAAGAGGAAACTGAGTGTTACACCATTGTGGAAGCTGTAGAACAATACACATGAGAGATACGGGAGTGGAGAGAAAGAGAGAACCAAAAAGAGTGAGAAACTAGCCCCTGTCTCCACCTTTCCCCTCTCCCTATTTTATAGGGAAGGTGGGGATTTTTAACTTTTTACCATCCTTATGGATGACACTCCTTGTTTGCCACTTTTATACGTGCTCCTACACAATTGCCATCGCAAACAGTAAACCTCCTACGTTTTTACCATTTTTGCTGACATGGCACGCCAGGTGGGCACGCCAGCGTAGCAGTGAGGCTGAGAAGGCCTATAGAGTATGCGAAATGACCTATTTACCCCTGTTGCTTCTCTCCCTCTACTCGCTGACGCGTGGGTCCCACACGTCATCTTTGTCTTCAACCTCCAGCCACGGATGGGAGCCAGGCACCTCCAGCTTCATCTCACACCTCCAACACCTGGATGGGAGCTATGCACCTCCAGCTTCGTCATCCCTCCATGGCTACCGAGCAGCCGAGGACGACGAGCAAGGCACCACGCGCGAAGTCGATGGAGGAGTTCTTGCGGCAAAGAGGAGCTGGTGGCAGCCAGCCACGGGTAGAAGCGAGGCTCTCCGGCGGAGTGCTTTGGTTGAGGTGGAAGACGCCACTACGGCCATGGATTGGCGCTGAGATGTGGATAGGATGCCGCGGTGGGTCCTTGCGGCGCCAACGAAGGAGACGGGGAGGCGAGAGCTGTTGTGTATGCGGAGATCGGTGAGCTCGACCTCGGGACGGCAATGGCGGCGACGGCGGTGGTTCACGGCGATGGGGCGGGGGTTGCCGAACGACGAGTAGCGGGGTGAAGTCATCATGCCACTGTGAACTCGCAGAGCCCATTGGGAGTAGCAGAGATGGCTGGATGGGGGAGATCGATGGTGACGATGGAGTTCCGGTCATGGCCGCAGCTCCGTGCAAGCTCCAATCTTCTACCCCGCCTCCGTGGAAGTTGCAAACAGGAGCAAGCGCAGGGAGCTTTTATGAGGCAGCAGCTCTATAGCAGCACTGCCTAGGTGCCAGCACGCCGCTCCTCCTCCCTCCGCCGCCAGAGCCCGCTTGTCGTCGGGTCGCTCGGCTTCGGGTGATGGCTGGAGGTTGAAGACAAAGCTGACGTGTGGGGCCCACGCGTCAGCGAGTAGAGGGAGAGAAGCAACAGGGGTAAATAGGTCATTTCGCATGCTCTGTAAGCCTTCTTAGGCTCACTGCCACGTTGGCGTGCCCACCTGGCGTGCCATGTCAGCAAAAATGGCAAAAACGAAGGAGGTTCACTGTTTGCGATGGATAATTGTGTAGGAGCGCGTATAAAAGTGGCAAACGAAGGAGTGTCATCCGTAAGGATGGCAAAAATTAAAAATCCCGGTGGGAGAGGAGGTTTTCATCATCCCCTAGTGGGGCTTGTTTTTTACACCCTATAGGGGATACAAATGAGCTCTAAACTTTATTCAATAAGCCCACTGACGTGTTTTGACGGTCTCTTTCTCTCTGAGCATTTGCGCAAAATTTTATTTCTCAAAAGAGTAAATTGCACGGCCGGTTCTTAAAGTATTGGGATGATTTCGTCTGGGTCCCCAAACTATTAAATCGCACAGTTGGCTCCCCAATCTACTTAATCCGGCCCATGTAGGTCCTAAACAGCCCAGGCGGTGTCAAGGCTGTCCACGTACGCACCAGTTAGCTCTGCTGACTTCGTGTTGACCGCGGCTGGATCGGATTTGGCCCACTGGTTCCAGATCGGACGGTTGGAGATCGTCTCCCGCGGGATTGACCAGTGGCGCCGGTGGTTAGCGCCGCGAGGCACGGTGGTGCTGCCATGGGTAGCGGCGGGAGCTCGCCGGAAAGTGGCGGCGCTCGGGCTACAGAGCCCATCCGGGCATGGGGATTACTCCCACGCGTATAGCTCGACGTTGCGGACTCGTTTGACAACGAACGGAGGCCAGGGACGGTGGTAACGACGGCGAGGAGGACCGGGCACGGCGGCGGGATTCGGCGAGCTCATGAGCGCGGAAGGAAGGGAGAGGGCGGGACAAGCATTGGAGGGTTACTCACCTCGCTGCGAAATTCGTCGTGAAGGTATCGCCGGCGGGGACGCGGCAGGCGAGGAGATCGATGGCGGCGGCGGCACGTAGGTATGGCGTGCGCGGGAGAATAGAGATGCGGCGGTGGCTACCAGGGCAAAGGACAGCGCGCGGCACGTCAGCGGGCATGGACAGATGTGGAGCCGTCGCCATCACCTTCGCCGCGGTGGCGGCCGAGGCCAGCGGGAGGAGGAGGACGAAGCGCGTGGAGAAGGATCGCGAGAGGTTGTTGGGCTCCACCCACGCCTTGCCGTCGTCGAAGTTCTGCGCGTAGCTGTAGAAGTCGTCGGAGGGTGGCGCGGCGCGCGGCGCCGCAGACGCGCACCGGTGGAGCGAGCAGATCCGCTTCTTCCCCGCATGACGCGGCGCCACAGCACCCTCAGCCCGCGCCCATGGGACGGCCGCGGGGCCCCGCATGAGTAGTAGGGCGCCCGGACCGCTGACCTTGGAGGAGGAGATGACGCGAGTGGGGCGACGCGTCGTCGTCGTAGTAGTCGTAGTCGTCGCCGCCGCCGAGGTCGAAGCCAGCAGACGAACCCCCGCCGCGAGATGGAGGGGGCGCAGGAGCAGGAGGCCTGGCGCTGGAACCACGGGCTATAGCCGCCGCCGTCCATGGCGACGAGGAGCGCGGCTGCGGCCCGTCTGCGAGACTGCCACCGTCCGTCCCACTGCCTCGGTTTCCTTCCCCGCTGCCTCCCCGCCATCGAGAACGCGGCCGACGACTTTGCCGTGGCCTCCTCTTCCTGCTCCACCGCTCGCCGGATCTCCGCCCCGCCTCGACTCCGATGAGGACGCCGCCGGAGAGCACCCCTGCGCAGCTACAGGGCAGGACGACTCCTCCTACCCCGCCGATCCAAAACCCACGGTCCAGATTGCTCGTTGACCAACGGTGGCAGTGACTGAGTTAAATCATGTCCACGTGGACAATCAGATCAGCTTCTAACCCTTCTCATGTCTATTTTGGACCTAGATGAGATCACTTAAATACATTAGGGAGCCAAGAGTACGATTTCATAGTTTGAGGACCCAAACGAAATTAGCCTAATACTTTAAGGACCGGCCGTGCAATTTACTCTTCTCAAAATGTGTTCCGTTTAACACTTTAATGTCATCCTCGATCTGCCTGGATGAAGAGTGAAGGCAATGTAGGGATAGTTTGCCGAAATATCGTGTTAGCTCCACCCTGCTCTGCTTTTGCAGACAATATGAGCCAATGGAGTTACTGTGACGGTCCTTATATTGCTGCAAGGTATGCACATTCCGCGTCTGAAAGTTTCAGAATCGGTCATCCAGAACCGGCTATTGGGGAGTCATCCCAACTCAGTTGTTGCTTCTTGTTTTGCTGTGCATGTCCCTATCAAGACTCTTCTGCCCCAACCTACTAATGACATTGTTTACAAATTAAAATATTTATTTACTTCTCTAGCAAGCTACGCGTTCAGGCGTGGCATCTACAGATCGTGGCATCTAGCAATAGTCACATTTGATCACAGAAACAAGTACTGAACTCTTCCGTATTGTCGTCTAAGCCAAGATGTCAAACAAGATAAACCCTCTATAATAGCATCATGTTCCATCATCATATCAAACTAACAGTTTTTTTTTTTATCATCATGTGACATTACCCAGTTGACCAAATGGTTCTGTTGAAAAGAGGAGCATTTGGTGATTCTTGGCTTGCAAAAGGCATGCAATTTCCTGTTTGACCTGCATTCATATATGCCAAGCATAAAAGCCTCTATTGCGTGTGTTGGTAGTACGGCACTAGCTTCGTGATTAGCACCATGCATTTCTGCGTGTTTGGTTTCCTGAAGAGGCACATCATCAAGCAAATAGGTGATACGATGCTTTCTGCCTTATTCTTACATGCATCTGAGCTTCATGGTTTCTTCAGTCTTCTTCTTCTTTCTTTTTTTTATTTGTTTTTTATGTAGTTATGCCCAAAATTGACAAATGAATAGCCTCACACACTCTTGACAAAGGTGCTTTCTTCGTTTTATCAGCATATTTTTCAATCCGTTCTAACGTTTTGACTTTCCAAATCCCGCTGTTGCTCAGATTATGAAACTTGCACGTTGATATTTGATTCAGTATCAGTCTAATTTCCATGGCCGCAGATTTTTAGAAGTAACTGTCATTGTTTTATTTACATGGATTGTTATGTAGGTTTGTTGAATGCTCCAAACAAAAAGGAGTATGTTTGTCACTTTGTTAACTTTTCACCAAATGGCAGGCGCACGGAGAACACGGAAACCATCATTTCAGATTACTGGAGAAGATAGATCAACATCAGCTGCAGATGATAACATATATGAAGATGATTCGGTGAAGAGATCAATTTTGAGCGCACCATTAGTTGAGTTCAGCACTGTTTATTCAGCAGCGAACAATTTCAGTGAAAAGCTTGGCGAAGGTGGATTTGGTCCAGTTTTCAAGGTGGAGTATTGGAAACTTCATATACTTCCTCCAACTGTTATGATATGGTTGAGTTTGTTTAATTAATCCTTTTCATCTGGATAACCATAGTGGATATTTGATGGTATCTCCAGGGGATACTACCAGATGGCCAAGAGATTGCTATTAAGAGGCTATCTAAAAGCTCCGGGCAGGGATTGGAAGAGTTCAAGAATGAGGTGACGGTGCTATCCAAGCTGCAACACCGGAACTTAGTGAGGCTTTTTGGTTGTTGTATTCATGGAGAAGAGAAGATGATGTTGTATGAATACATGCCCAACAAGAGTCTTGACTCATTTATTTTCAGTAAGTTTCAGTCACTTGCAGTTCTGAATTTATACGAATACTTTATACAGTCAGCCAGGAAATGAATTTTTCTATGGACATTTAGTACTTTCTATATTTTTTTCAGATGAAAGTAAGAGACTTGTATTAGGCTGGAAATTGCGATACAAGATTATTCAGGGAATTGGAAGAGGGTTACTGTACCTTCATCAGGATTCCAGGCTGAAAATTATTCATAGGGATCTCAAAGCAAGCAATATTTTACTAGATGATGATTTCAACCCCAAGATATCGGACTTTGGCATGGCTAGAATTTTCGGCGAACACCAGCTTCAAGACCTTACTCGCCGAATTGTCGGAACCTAGTAAGGCTGTTTTTCTCTTTTTCTCCCTACATCATACAGCTGAACAGGGAGTTCCATTGCATTCACCTGCTTCTATAATAGTTGGTTTAGTGCTGCTCAGTAATTGCATCTTCTTTATTGTAACCTTTCTGATCTTACTGCTTTATTCGGATAATAGACAAATTAATTCTTATTCTAGTAGACATAGCATCACCTGGCAACAAGCTAATGCGATAAAATCTGTGGAACGCAGTGGCTACATCTCCCCGGAGTATGCAATGGAGGGCAAATTCTCTGATAAATCTGACGTCTTCAGTTTTGGTGTGCTGGTCCTCGAGATTGTGAGTGGCCGCAGGAACAGCTCTTTTGTCGACGACGAATGGTCAATGAACCTATTGGGCTATGTAAGATAGCACTGTGCCACTGTCTCCTCCACTCACCATACTTGTCAAATCAAAACTAGAAAATAACCATGAACTTTTTGCTTGCCACAATTGCCTTATCTATTTCACAACGTATGTTCCAGGCATGGACCCTGTGGAAGGAAGGCAGTGTCTCAGAGCTTATCGATCCGCTCATGGGAACCACATACACTTACGACGAAGTCTGCAGATGCATTCAGGTGGGTCTCCTGTGCGTGCAGGAGTTACCAGCTGAGAGGCCAACCATGTCGCTGGTGCTCAGGATGTTGAGCGGTGATGTTACGGTTCCGTCTCCGAAGCAAGCTGCATTTTTTGTTGGGAGGGCTCCTCGTCTTCCTGCGGATGACAACAATACTGAATCAGGGAATCAATTAACGTACACGGATCTTCAGGGCAGATAGTCTCACTGTCTCAGGCTGCCGAAGTTTCACACTGTATATCGTTTTCCTATTACTAAGTTTGTATCAGCTCAGGCGCTCAGGCTCAGCTGACGGTTAACCCCGGCGGGCGAGATCACATTTGGGTTATGGCAAGCAACCATGCCAAGGCCGGGGCGTCCTTAGATTGTCGCGTGTCGTGGTGACCGAGAACGGCGCGATAGATAATGCCGCGCCTGGTCTGGGACCAGATCTAGCAGCCTGGCGTGGAAGACGTTCTAGGGCGCGCCGAGGGGACGTGCGCGACGCGTACGCCAGGTGCGGGCCGTTCGGCGTGTGCAAACGTTGTTCTTGCAGCTGCGGCGCTGCGCCGTCGGGGCTGGCGCATGAGGGATGCGTCATGCTGTAAGCACAAGCAATAGATAGTCAGATAGATGCAGAAGAACGAGAAGAATGCAGGATAGGATAGTTCGGAAGAGTAGCTTACAACAGAGGAGTGCTTAGAAGGCAGGGTTTACACACCACGTTTCTCCAGCTGGAATGGGTCAAGCCCACTCTGGGCCCTGGGCCTTCGCTCCCGCGCGCTGCGCCGTGGGCTGACGTCGTGCACACCACCTTGGGCGACGTCGTTCACACTCGCGCGGTTGCGCCACGGTGTGATGTCGACGATGCAGAGCTGCTGACACATTTCAAAAGCGGAAAGTAAAAAAAGGTATATCTAAGGTGCTGCGAAAATTGCAACTACTACGTAAAAACAACTGCCGATTTTTTAGCTATTTTTTTGATTTTTTCACAAATATGTCCCTGGACTAAAGATTTCAAAATCTGGACCCTTAGTTTGGCGCCATCGTTGCTGGCGCCGAGCTAACACGTCTCGGCGCCAGCATCCCTAGCGCCGAGCTCTTGGACTCGAAGCCAACGTGGTCGTGTGGCGCCAAGCTCGGCGCCAGTAACCCTAACGCCGAGCCTATCTTATGTATGGGCCCCAGTCCTTTCTCTCTTCCTCTCCCTCTCTCTCTCTCTCGCTTTTCCCTCTCTTCTGCGCCCTCTCCCGCACCCGGCCGCCCGCGCCCGCGCGCCCTCTCCCTCGCCGCGCCCCGCGCCCGGCCGCCTGCGCCGCGCCGCCACCGCGGGCACGTCGTGCCCCGCGCCGGACCGCCGCGCCCGTGCCGGCCTCCCGCGCCGCGGCGTTCCCCACCGCGCCGGTGCCGTGACCGTGACCGTGCTGCCCGCCACCGCCGGCCTCAGCCGCGCCCGCCGTCCCGCCCGCGCCCGCCGAGCCAGCCTCGCCGCGCGGAGCGCCGGGCATCCCTCGCCCGCCGCGCGCCACCGCCGTCGTCGCCCGCGCCCCTGTCGGCCTCGGCACCTACAGCGCCCAGCCATGCCACCGCCGGCCCGGCTCGTCGGTAGGACTCACGTCCGGTGTCTGCTGCGACTCCATCGACGTCCGCGACTCCATCGTCGGATAGGTAAAAATTATGAATTTACAATGTGCGTACTTAGTTAGCTTTGATTGTAGTGTAGTAGTTTTGGCATTTGTTATTTACTAGTTAATGTGATGACTCAGGTAGTTGATTTAGTTACTGATCTAGTGAAATATATATATAGATAGATAGAAACATAAATACATAGGTACATAGATATAGTTAGATAGCTACTTAAATAGGTAGTTACATATTTAGTTAACTAAATATGACCTAACTATTTAGTTATTACACTGTATCTATGTATATAGTTATTATCTTATTTACTTAGTTTGTAGTTAGAAAGTACTTGTTAGGTACTATCTATCGTCTAATTTGGATTAAAGGACATGTGTTTTGTTATGTGTTTAAACTAGATGGACAACCTAGTGACCATATATCATGGAGGCACCGTTGAATACGATCGTTATGGATATGTTGAGTTTATTGACATGCAAAGCGTGCCTGTGCTATTCAATGATAGGCCTTCATTTAGTGCGATGGTTGCAAGGGCTCGGAAGGAGCTACATTGCCTTGGAGATGATGGCATTGCAATTGAGGGTGTACTGCACCTAGGTTCTCTTCCTAACATCCTCAGGCGAATGATCCCAATTGGGTGTGCGGATCAGTAGGAGAACTATGTGAGATCGGCTATGAAGAGCCAGCTACAATGCTTGGACGTGGTTGTGCGTCGGGTGTTAGTTGATCTCATCCCTCATGGGTTTTCACCACCAATGGGTCAGCAGGCACACATCGACCCTCCCATCCCGACAGTTTTGGGTTTTCTATTCCGGCAGCTGTGCGAGGGGTGTCGTCGGACTTCGTCCACAACGTCACTTGGTGGATGCGTGTACCTGCTCTAGTTGTGGATGTGGGCTGTCTTCCAGTTGGTTGTCCGGAGGTTCTGGCTCGTCGTGAGTGGTTCCAAGGTCAGCCTCCAAGGTCAGAGTTTATCACGGCTCGATCTCCGCATTCACACAGAAGAGGTTCCTCGAGTCGTCTAACTGCGGTTAGGTGCTTCTCCTTAGCCGTCATTGGCGGAGGGTGGAACTCACCGCTTGAACTGCTTACGTGGATGTCTCCCTCTAAATCCATCGTCGAAAAGGAGATACCTAGGGTCAAACTTGTCTGCACCGTCGATCCACTGAAAGAAAAAGCACCTCTCATGGTCCTACACAACGAGATTCCAATAAAATATTAGTAGCATATTTACACAAATAAAGAAAAAAAGATAGTGGAAACAATTTCTTACATTAAAACGACTGCATGTGTAGAAGCAATGCGCCGCTGTGTTCGGATGTTTCGATTGAAACACGTGGGCCGGGAAACCACAGTCACAGTTAGGGAGAGGGAGGTCAGGAGAGACGGGGGCATCTTTGCTAGACGCATCGGGGTATAATTCTCGAGGACGACCCCGTTTTCGCCAAAACTTCTCACGATACATTTATTGCATCTAACAAAATGGATGTAATTTAACAAACAAAAATCAAAACATCACAAATTATGTCAAAAAGAACCATAACTACAATACAACCAATTTCGTTCTAAGAACCGAAAGCAATTAACATTAAACCCTAAACCTAGGGTTTTCCATTTGATGCACAACAATGAACTCATAACATAACTACATGCGCTGCGGTTACCTAGGTTTGCTAGCTTTTCGACGCCTTGGCATCATCCCATGGTTGTATAATACAAATATTGAGGGATAGAATGAAATCCTAAGTAATGACGATTCTTAGGTTGAAAAATTCGACTAATATATACCGAATTGACGCGAAAAAACTAGGAGGGGAGCGGGGATACCTTGCTCTCGAAGATCTACGGATCAAATCAAAGTTTTCAAGGTCCAATATGCCGATTCGTGAGGTAGGGCGAAGTGGAGAGAGAAAAAACCCGAGAGGAAGGAGAAAGAAGAGAAAGAAGGCTCGAGCAGGAAGCTTGGGCCGGGGTTAAAACACAAGCTCGGCGTCAGTCACCCTGGCGCCGAGCTCGGCGCTAGGATCTACGGCGCTGAGCTTGGCGCCAGGGTAACTGGCGCCGAGCTTCCTGCCATGTCACGGCCGCGTTGGCTTCGAGCCCAAGAGCTCGGCGTCAGGGACGCTGGTGCCGAGACGTGTTTGCTCGGCGCCACGATGGTGTCGAGCTAAGGATCCAGATTTTGAAATGTTTTCTCCAGAGACATATTTATGAAAAATTTTCAAAAAAGAGAGCTAAAAAATAAAAAAATTAGGAAACAACTGCATCTAAAGCAGCTTTAGGTTACATATGTTTGGAAAGTGGTCAGCGGTGAGGGGACGACGACGGATGGCAAAATTCAAAGGCAAGACATTAAAATACAGCAACTTACTTGAACCGGATGCCACAAATTACCCCCTATGGTTATCTAACTTAGCTAGGTTGAATAATATTTTATACCTTGAACATCCATGTAATATGAACATTTGTTGGAGTGTAGTAGTGGCAAAATCGGTGCTGTAAATTTCTCTTTAATATCCAAGCAACATTTTTACCACACTTCGGATGCACTTATACGGTAGCTTTTTTTTAGCAAACTTATACGGTAGTTAAATGGGTGTCGATGGACCGTAACATTGCGGCTACTCTTGTCCGGTAGTAAAAATGGATGCTGGTGGGTCGTTCTAAACCGTGGCCCGGCCAACACTTCTTTTGTTTTTCATGACCGACCGTGCCTTGGCACGTATGTCCGACACTACTTTTGGGCTTATTTGCATGTGGCCATGAGTAAGTCACTGATTTGCTTTCTTGACTTCCATCACACTGACACAAGAGAGTGCAAATGGAACGTTTTTTTGTATTCACATCGCTGCAGACTTGCAAACAAGTCGATGATTGACTGACATGCATGTAAACGGGAAAAGAACCGCTGATTTGCTGTACAGTACAATACTACTCTTTCATAAAAGTTCCCATGAACTCTTTCGTAATAATTCAGCAACATGAATTCGCTACACGGGGAGAAGAGGGAAAAAAGTTTCTTGCTATAAAAGCAGGGTTTCCTCCGTATTAAAAAAGAAGAGGCAAAAAGGTAACTAATGAAGTAGCAACTATTTATATATATATTTTTGTCGGTACAACTTGGACGCACACAAACTCACACATTTCACACTCACACCACACACCCTATTTTTCAGGTACGACACTGGACCCTAGTGGGTAGCGTCCCACTGGACAGTCCTACCACTAAACCACAGGCACATTCACAACAACTATTTATATGCCTTTGCTGCTATTCCTGCAACTGCAATGCTACAAATTGTGTAGCAGTAATCACTAACCAATACGGTGATCCAATTCAAGTTTGAGATCAGAAATTGGCAACCGCGTGCAGGGGTTGCTGTTTGGCGCCCTTCCTGTGTCAGATTTCCACACCTGGACTTGCTACGTCGTCTACGTGAGATAGATGGAGTCGCCGTGTGCGCCAGACGTGGCCTGCGTTGCGAGAGGAGACGCGGCGGCACTGCTGTCCGGACGACGGGCCTGCGATGAGCTGCTGCTGCCGTTCGTCGTCAGCATCGCGACTGCTTCAGCCATGGATGGCCTGTCGGCGGGCGACTGCTGCAAGCAAAGAAGGCCGACCTGCACGCATCTCTCCAGCTGAAGGAGGATCTCCGGCTCCGGTTGGCCCACGGCTGAATCCAGAAGGTCCTCCTTGATCTTATGCTGGTTCCAAGATTCCTGGGCCTGCAAGAAATGCAGAGAGAATAATGCAGTTCAATTCATGGACAAAAGGGATCATCTTCTTGCAGAAACTCGCGGTGTTTTTAGCTGTTTGCTCACATGACAAAGGAGCTTTGGGGTGCTAGTGTTCCTTTTGCCACTGATGATCTCGATCAGGACGACTCCGAAGCTATACACGTCGCACTTCAGCGTCAGCTGCGGCCCTTGCGCTGTGTACTCTGGAGCCCTATATCCCCTTTTGCCAATATAAACAGTTCAGTAAGTTGAGGATTTGGCAATTGGCATTGAGAACAGAAAACAGAAGCATGCAGTGGATGTGAACAGAAAACAGAAGCAACTACATCATAGTTAAGTTCACTAATGTTATATATGCATGCTGCACTTGAATTGAAACAGTAGCCGAGGGGGTCAGGTTTCAGTCATACTCTGTCTGTACTAGTGTCGGATTCGTCTGGCCATCGACGTAAACTTTTGCAGTGCCAAAATCTGCAATCTTAGCTCTCCAATTTTCATCCAAGAGGATATTTGATGGTTTCAGATCCCTGTGTATCACTTCCTGTCCATGCAGATAAGCAACGCCTTTGGCAACCCCTACAATTATCTCCAGCCTCCGCTCCCAATTCAACAAAGCACGGGCACGGTGATTGGGATCTCTCGCTGTCAGTCACACACAGCAGATGAGCGCTTGGAAGTAGCTGAACATTGTGATCATACATCTATACGGATATTAATAATCTGTGCATTATAAATTTAAAGCATGCAAGTACCGAATATGTAAAGGTTCAAGCTCCTGTTCTCCATGTACTCGTAGACTAGTATCCGCTCATTTCCATCCTTGCAATAAGCAAGGAGCTGAGCAAGATTGTCATGCTTGAGCTCTGACATCAGTTGCACTTCTCTCATGAAAATTTCACCACCTTCATCGGTAAGATAAGATTGTGTGATCCTCTTTACAGCAACCTTTCTACCATCAGTTAAATTCCCCTGGTAATTGCACAATCATGTCAGCTATGAATGTCAGAACAGTAAAATACACTACTTCCAGTGCAAACTGCAAAGCAGGTGTGAAATACTCCTATATACAGTCAAGATGAAAATATTTTAGAGTTCCGTCCTTCAAGATGAAAGCTGTAGCTATGCTCATGCTTTGATTATTTATCTTGTCATATGAACAATACTAGTATACTAGCTATCGGAAGTATTCTCTGTCATTATAGCGTTTGGTAACATGAACACGGACCTCAAATACGCTGCTGAATCCTCCACGGCCAATGACATTGTCTACAGAGAAATCATTTGTAGTCCTCCTCAAAGTAGACAGTTCAACAGAAGGCACGTTGAGAACAGGACTACGTTGTCCAACAGAAGGGACCAACGGAGGTCTGCGTAGTTCAGTAGAAGGTACACCCGAAGAGGCACTCTGAACAGCTGGAAAACTCAACAGTCAACACATATGTTAGTATGGTGTGTTGCCCTCTTATGGTAATCTGAATTGTTCAAAGTTAAAACAAACAATTGGGTCAGTAATTTTACCTGGGATTATAGGTTGCCGGCGCCTCCTCACAAGTACGACCAACAAAACAATAAGAACCACGGCAGCGACGGCGGCTGCGGAGGCACCGACAACTGGTGCAGTAGGGAATGGCCGCCGCCGCGGCGAGGGCGCCACCGGCAGCTCAGACTGGGCCAGCCTCAGGTACAGATCTTGCCCTTTGTCCACGTACCGAAGGTCGATGATGTCATCCGTCCACATCACGCAGCCGCTGCGGACGTCGCCACCGCGGATATCTACGGCGGCGTAGGCCAAGCACGAGCAGTTGGCGAGGCACCTCGCCATGCAGTCCTCCACCGTGATGCTCATGTCCACCGTCGCGTTGCGTGTGTCGGGAAGCTTCACTCCGTGGACCAACAGAAAACCGTCCGTCGTCGTCGTCGTGGTGCCACTTCCATTATTGGCACAGTCCAGCTTCACATTCCGCTTGCATCCGCCTGAGGTATCCCTCAAGGACCACGCCGGCGGCGACGCGGGGCTGAACCCCGTGAGGCAGCTGCAGAACGACGTCGACGCCGCGCCGGCGTCGCACAGCCCGAACGCCCCGCACTTGCCGTAGGCGTCGCAGAGGTCCCTCGGTCCCTGGTAGAAGGTCTGCCACGTCCGGGCGCCCGAGTCCCACACCAGGCGCTTGGCCATGCCGGTGTCGGTCAGCACGACACGAGTCAATGCGGCGCCGGGGTTGGAGGTGTAGCCGTAGGATATCTCCGCCGGGCTTGTCGTCACCTGGTACCAGATCAAATTCTTGTACGCCGACACCTCCGGGACGCCGCTGAACCACCGGCCGTTCCATGGGCCAGTGCGGTAGGTCCTGACGTTGCCCTGCCACACGACAAGCTCGGGCAGCCCGCTGGTGTCCAGCGCGCGGCGGTAGGCCCCCAGCGACGGGTCGTCGGCTGAGCGCCACGACGTGAGGTACCACTCGGCGCCGGTCCACTTGTTCTTGCCCAGCTTCATGCCGGACAGCATGGTGTTCGACGGGTGATCGAACGACTGCCACAGGATGGCGCTGCTGCTGCTGCCTCCGTCGCGGACGACGAGGTTGCCGGAGTTGAGGAGCTGCGCCTCCGCCGATGACGAGGAGCTGGTGGAGTTCGATGACCATGTGACCTGGCCAGAGCCGTCTAGCAGCACAAGGCTTCCCGTGTCTCTGACGACCAGCACGCCGGAGTTGCCGTTCACAGGGCGGTCACCGTTTGCCACCCAGCAGACGGCGACACTGGACGCCGAGAACCAGATGCCGAGGTATCTCTTGGTTGACGCCCCGGGAGAGAAGAATCCCAAGGTGAATGTCCCATCGGCTGAGACGAGCGTCTCGCCGTCGGTGATGTTCCGGCCCTTGCCGAGCGTGTCCGACACGTCGGCGGCGATGGCTACGGGACAAAGTAGCATAAACGAGAGGAGAAGGTGGATGAATATTGTATCCATGATGATGATTGAGGATTTGGGTTCAGCCGTTGCGCGTCCAGCGTTGATAAGAGAGAAGACCTTGAAGCATGTTTTCATTTTTTTTTTCAATTTTTGTCAATGTTTGTACGAACAGAATTAGGGGGTGTTTGATCCACTGACTAAAATTTAGGAGGTGTGTCAGGAGGATGTTACATGGGGTTTTCGGATACTAATAAAAAAATAAATTACATAATCCGTCAGTACTCTACGAGAAGAATTTATTAAGTCTAATTAATCCATAATTAGCACATATTTACTGTAGCACCATATTGTCAAATCATGGGCTAATTAGACTCAAAAGATTCGTCTCGTAAATTAGTCGCAAACTATGCAATTAGTTTCTTAATTAGTCTATATTTAATACTCCATGCATGTGTCCAAAAATTCGATGGACAATCCGGAAGACATCAGCTAGGTCAAAGTTTGACTTTGTCATGTTTGATTTCTAACATATTGCGTAAGAGGAGAGGACCCCTACATCTTTGGATATTACAATTTATAAATGCCGCTTACATTTTCACTGCCGGCCGGTGTGATTTATAAGTAGCTACTTGCAGTTCTTTGTAGGCAACCTGTTTGTTTTATATTCTGCATTTCTATGCTATACGCCCGTTCAAATGACAAAAAACTAGATCAGCGATTGAGATAAATAGGATGAATGGATGAAAGTCAACTTCCGTGGTTGGTGTTTCTTATTTTTCATATTTTCAAGTTGTTTTTTAGAGACGTGGTGGCCTATTCACGAAGATGCTCACCATCACCGGTGATTATTACTAGAGTAATGTCCGTTTGTCTCCCTAAATTTATCGCTGAATTTTAAAAATATTCTCAAAATCAAATATCAGACGACTTATTACCTCAACTTTTAAAACCGGGTAAAATACCTCCCTTTACCATTTTAAAGTGATTTCCTAGGTAGTTTTGCTGGTATGGCAGTGGGGTCCACATGGGCGCTCTCTCTTGCTTTTATATAAAAAAGTCACAACTTTTTCATATTAAGTCGGATGAATACTAATTTTATATAAATATTGTAGATTTTTAAGCGATCTACAACTTTATAGTTGAAAACATTTTTATTTGAGATCTTTTATAGGATCAAATATTTGTTATAAGTTATTAGATTTTAAAATTCAAAAATTTGAATTTTTTAAATGATACAGGATGTTAAGATAGGCTATACCAAATTTGTAGCTCTCGATGTGGTATGTAACTTTGTTGTTGACAAATTTTCTATTTAAGATTATTTAAAGTCCCAAATATTTATTTTTAAGTTCTCAGGTTTGAAATTCATTTTTTTTTATTTTTTGGATGTTGACATTGTTTATACCAAGTTTTGGCTCTAAATGCGATCTACAACTTTGTGTTGACATATTTTTTTATATGAGATCGTTTAGAGACCCAAATATTGGTTTTAATTTCTTAAAAAAATAACTTTCAATTTTTCAAATGACCTCGGTAATTGACATGGTCTACACAAAGTTATAGATCTCAATGCAATCTATAATTTTATGGATGAAAACCTATTTATTTGAGATCGTTTAGAGGCCCAAATATTCAATTTATGTTCTCTAGTTTTTTTTTGAAATTTTCAAACGACCTTGGATGGAGACACACTCTATGGCAAATTTGTAGTGCTTGAAGAGATCTGAAACTTTATAGTTGAATTTTGTTTAATTTGAGATCACATAGAATCTCAAATATTTAATAAACTACTGCATGACTTAAATAAGACATGTGGAGCCTACATGCTACATAAGTCAAAACTACCATCAAAAGCACTCTGAATTATTATTGGGGTGGGATGGGTAATTTAGTTTATTCAGTTTTTAAGTTAAGGTGGTAGGTTGCCTGGTATTTAAGTACAAGAGTATTTTTAAAATTCAGCACAAGTTCAGGGGGGGGATCAGGCTTTACTCTTGTTATAAGTATGAAACTGAAGGACAAAAAGAAGATTAGGGGTGATTTGAAATCTCATTTTTTCTCACCAAACAAACGAGCTAGT